AATGTGCATATATAGAACCCCAGGATCGTCTGAAGACCATAAATTGGAGAGAAACACTCCACACTCAACACACACGCACACACAACATGTCCACACACACACACACCCACACATCACACACACACACAAACTCTCTCATACTATGCTGGCAGCAGCCTGCAGCAGGCATCTTCTCCAAGTGGTCTTTTTAAGGCTGGCCTCTTTATTGGCTGTGAAGATGAGAGGTAAACAACAATTGTCACCTACAAATGCATTCGTTTGTAAAAGAAAACGACACACAATCCATTTCAGATCAAGAAGATTTGTGTCTTTTTAAGCTTAAAAGCATAGATCCACATAATCAAAATACATTGATGGTATGGACCCTCTTGCATGCCATTGCTAGCAGGTGTACTCACTCTTTAGGAGTCGGATTTTTTCTCCAGGCCCCAAACAAGCACATCCCCGTTCTCTCTCTTCCAGGCGAGGAGGCTGGAGCGGGAAGGGGAAGACAAGCGTTGACACTTGGAGGCTTTGGATAGTGAGGAGCTGAGAGGCGGTGACTCATTGCTGCCTTTGCGTTTTTGGGCAAGATCTCTGTTGTCATAGCCCGTCACCTTCTGCTGAATCCCTGGGGGCTTCCCTCTGCTGCGGGGGGAGCGATGGAGAGGAGGACATGGCTTCTTTCCGTGTGAGAAGGTACCATTTACTGGTTCTTGAGAGGGGGGGACGTGCGGCTGGTCCTTCTCATGGAGGGGGGGATCCCTGATGTACTTTGAGGATTTGTCCTCACCGCTGTGTGACAGCTTGGCAGCTTTCTGTGCTGCGCTTGCCTCTTGCATAAGTTGCACCTTCCTCGGCCGAGCCTTGCCGGCTCGCCCAACAAGGTTGCATCGCTGGCCAGACCCAAGGCTCGCAGAAGTGGTGGAAGAAGGTGGTTTGGTACTGTGAGCATTGTGCTGACTGCTTTTGGTTTCCAGTTGTCCCAGTGAGGTAGACTCAAGACTGAGGGAGCCAGTGGATTTAGAGGGTCTGCACCCAGTCCTGACAGGGGATCCGACAGTTGGAGGTGTGTCCTGATGTGACCTGAGACCTGATGATACTTGAGGTATTTTCCTGTAAGTTAAAGGAAAACCATGAAGCTGGTTAGAATCCCTGTATTTCATTTTCAATGACATGAAGGGAACTATACCTCTGTTCTGTATTCCATGGATAAAATGAAATACAGGTTTTAAATTGATCATTTTTAAGAGTATCGGATAAATGTCTGACCTTTTCTTATCAGAAAATTGGAAAATCCTTGATATGTAATAATTTATTAATACCTGCAGGAAAGAAATCAGATTGAAGTGAATATCAGTGCCCTGCAGTGCGCTCAGTGTCTAGTTCAAGGACAAACACTGGCAGATATTGGATCCTGGCTGGAAGTCTCCCAACTATTTTCTTCACCTTGGTGACATTTCTACTAAGTATAGATTATAGAGTAGTGATACTTACGTCCACAAGTGTGTGCTGACATGATGCTCCAACATGGCACTGAGGGCAAACTGCAGGTGATGCCAACGCCGGTCGAAGGTGAAGATGCTGCAACCCAATGTGTGGCATCCAAAAGTGCATAGCTACAGAACAGAAACAGTTTTATAAACTAAGACTCATGTGTCCTTTGGAGACGTGTTAATATCCACTCCTGACAACAGTGACTTTAAAAAGAACCCAGTGATCCCTGACTTTAGTTTTACTGAGAAAGGGAAACCAAATTAGCCTTGTGCTTTTCACTCCATAAATTCACACATCACAAATGCTTTAAATGGAAATCATAGCAAACTACTTATGAAGTGGGCCAATGATACAAGTCTGCTGGCTGCTGCCACGTTTCTGCACTTACCCCGAGAGGTTTGGGGTGCCTGGGTGTGGCAGGCAGGTCTGTGGCTTCCTCCTGCTCATCATCGTCTTCACTCTCCTCGCTTGACAGCAAGCTCTGGTTGAAGGGATAGGGAGGCTGTACCTTCACTTCCACTGTGCTGAAGGATTCATCCTCTGGAAAGCTTTGTGATGGATCCCTGATCCTGCTTTGAAGACAAAAGAATATAAAAAATATAAGAAGAGAATAGATTAACACAAAGATAGCAGGTTCTACCTGGAAAGGAATTACTCCGATAAAAACACATTAACATCACTACCATCTGGATGATAATCTCTAACATTAGCAATCAGAACATGTATTTTTATAATTTTATAATAACACGATCTGTTTGCTACTTTCTATCTAACCCCAACCCTATCTGTTGTGTCAACTCATTTTGATAAAATAAAATAAAAAATAGTATATGTAGAGAAAAGAAATTGGTTGCAATGCTAGCACTTTGTTGTGCCCTACAGGTAACCATATGTACATTTGGATATCTGTCATTATTCTTAACACTGAAAGTATGTCATTTTTAGCTTTCATGTCATTACTCTTTATTCAAGCTCACGATTTCAACTTCATCTCCAGCAATAATTTGTAATGTGATGGCATGGTGTAATGGTTACTCAAGAGGTATTTTAGTGAATCAAACTCATGTTTTTAATATAAAATAAATCATATTCATACCTGACAATGTGACGGTTGCTGCTGAAGTTGTATTTACTGCCCTGAGTCATTTTTTTCTCTTCAAAAGCTTCCAAATGTTGCTCTTTGTCTTCTGATTTGACAAGAGACTGCTCCACATCTCGACCTGTTGGGGTTGTTCTCTGTTCCACTGCCAACTGACCAAAGGTCTTAGTCCTTCCCAAAGCTTTCTGCTGCTGGTGGATGGAATCAGTCTGTGTAGAAAGAACAGCACAGGGGAGAAAATAGAGCCATTACATCCCATCCCAAACAAATGATTTCCATGTTTTCCATGTTTGTGTATCGAATAACAAATGCAGCCTCAAAGACAAAAGACTAATTTCTCTGTTGATAATGAACAACAATAAAGATACTGGTAACACTGAGAGTTTACATTGCATATAAGCTCCAGGCTGCACAGCTTTTTCCTTTCTGGATCCAGAACTCCGCAGTGTTTGTTCAGGTCACATTCTTTCTCTAAGGGAAAGAAAGCAAACACAGTAGTCAGTGGGCAGCAGCAGGACAGACAGTCAACATAATCCATGCTGGTGGAATGATTAAGAGCACCATGTGGTCATTTTTCCAAAACAAAATAACAGGCAACAATTCTGCAAACAATCGAATTATATTATAATGCATACACTGTTATATGCCACACCCTGGCTAATAAAATTAATGTTGCAGTCGGCTTACTGTCAATGTTTTTGTAAATCCGGCTGTAGGTTCTCATTCCCCGCAGAGGACTGAGAGACTCACTGGACGGCCCAGTTGTGGGCTTTTGTGCAGCCGGTCTGTCTGATGGAGAAGTGGAGGAGGAACAGTGGCCAGGGGGGAGGGGTCCTGAGTGCCACGGAGGAACCCTGGGTCGAGGCGTGGTGGAGGAGTGGTGTGGGAGAGGAGGGTTCTCCTGAGGGAACTTCTCCACTGACGGAAAACTGTAGAGGTAGTTAGAGAGGTAAAGTTCAGAATTAACAGGCTTGGAATTTAGATGCAATAAGTGACAAAATTCAGGTTTGTGTAAGTCCTAAATCACTGTTTCTAATTAACGATTGAAAACAGTGACAGTTATTGCATTTAATGTCAACTCTGAACCTCAACACACGCGGTTCCTTTGTCCCTCCATGATACTTACAGACATTACGTTATCAACAAGAATTACGAAGTAGAAATCTCTGAAATATTCTTATAATTCACATTTCCCTGTGTCGATGTAAAAAGAAATAAAATCTTAAAACCGCACCTCACTGCCTCCTTCTGGGCCTTGGTGTGCCTGTGCTGCTGGACCGGTAATGCTGCACTGGCTTCATGACATCTACCATCCTTCTGCTTCTCTCTAGAGGAGGACAGATTCGAAGGAGAGCGACCAGGGCGAGGCCGCTGCTGTGGGGCCAAAGCAGATGATGGGCCACACATTTTAGTGAGAGGACCATGGCGCCTCTCACAGTGCTTCTCAAAGGCTTGAGGCTTCACCACCTGCCCACAGTGGCTGCACACCACCAGACAGATCTCATCGTGTGCTGGGCAGTGGCCAAATATGTGCATATCTGTAGAGGGGAGTACAAAGAGAGTTAAAGAGAAATGAGAAGTGAGAGTGAACGCACAGAGTTATTGAGTTTCATAAGTCAACGCCTTCACCTTCTTTCCTGAGGGTCATGGTCTCACAGCGGTTCCTCCCATACTTGCTGCTGTCTTCAGCATGAGACCCAGCTGCATGAAAGGCAAAAAACAGTCGGCATGAATATTGGGATGGGACATTCCTAAAGCCTCTTCCATAAGGCAGGTGTACTGAGATATCTGAGTAAAACCCGGAACACGTCGTTCACATCAGTCCGTGCTCCTTTTTTTGGCCCAAAATATAAAAGTTATCCTAATTAAACTTACATTTCTCCTGATATAACATTACTGCTAGCACCGCCCGCGTTAGCTGGACCAGTCGCAGCTGTTAGCTAGTCATTTTTGCTGTTAGCAAACTGGACAAATCCTTCTTAATTAGTGTTGTTGTTGTTGTTGTTGTTGTTGTTGTTGTGTTTGTTGTGACAGCAGCTGACGGGCTAACGGTCTATCTACCTGTCCACAGGTAAACCGTTCGTGCTGTATCCACCAGCTACAGTCTTTTTAATCACTGACTACTTTACCAAACGCCTAAGAAACAAATGTTAAATGTGTTTTGTTTGTTGCCAGTTAACATCCTCAGCAACCTGCATTAGGACCCAGCGGGTCTTTTGTTTGGGTCGCCCTTTCTGCCGCCGCTCTGTGGATGTATCAAACAATAAATCACAGGATGTTTGACACTGTGCCATGATGAACACCAGGTGTGGGGCAGGGAGTGCGACTCACCGTCAGATGGTAAAATATTCCCCCTATCAACCCAACAACTCCAGTTTAATCCGACAAAATCGTCGAGATTAGGATTTCGCCGACCCAAAGCGGCCATTGCTGCTTTTGCGCGTTCACGAGATGAGACCGTCAGTTCGCGCGCATCACAGCCGCGTCACAAAGCTCGCGGCCGTATGAATAACGTCATATGAACGACCGAGAGGATGGATATTTACACCTTTATACACCTGAACCTGCGCTGGCCTCTGTCCGAAACAGACAAAGTGGAAAAACATAGAAATATATCTTTAAAAACATTATCTTGGATGTCCCTCATCTTCATAATAATCCGGACCATGGGTCATTATTCATGTTAGACTAATGTTATCAGGTTTTCACCGGTTTCATTTTATTTATTTATTTATTTTGTTTGTTTCATATATATATTTGGGATATCAAAGATGAACTTTTCATCAAAATCTAAATTTCAGTCTAAAAATGTACAAGAATATCATACAAATTTTACAGTAAAGACCCCCTGCAGATGTTATCAATAGAACATCTGTTAAGCTCTCTGTTTTATGACTATAATATGGACACTGTGAGTGTGTTCTTAAGATGTCAGTGGCCATTTATCGGTGTATGTGTACATCTTTCCTTGTTCATGCAGCAGAGATCATCAAGGTGATGCTGTCAAATTGCTTATTTTATCCAACCAACAGACCAAAAAATATTACATTTGAAATCATAATCAATCATTAAAGAGGAGAGTAGCAAACCCTTCACATGTAAGAAGTCAGAGAATGTTTGTTGGATAAAGGATTTATATTGATCAGTTATCAAAATTGTAAATGTTCTGTTGATCAACAAATCATTTAATTGATTCAGTTCTAGTAACCAAACAGGAGTGAAATGTGCTGGGCATATATGCAACTGAAAAATATTTACAGTATGTAACATTGTGTAGTTTCTAGATTATAGCTTGGCCAAAGGTTTTTTGTAATAGTTTTGGGCACTAATGGATCAGGTATTAATGCACAGTGATGAATCACTAACAGACCATACCATTGTGAGTGTAACCTAAAACTTGACTGGACTGTTGAGGGTCAGGAGGTTCATTTGAAGGCTTGTGTGTGTGTATGTGTGTGTGTGTGTCAGGTGATGATGCCTGGTTAGAAGGAGCCTGTCTGCCACCTAGTGATTGTCAAATTGCACTGCATGCTGCCCTTGCTTACTGAATGTCTGAATATTATTATATATGATATGATTACAGTCCGCTATGTGAATCTTATTCTCAGTGTGTGATGAAAACATTTTGTACAGTATGTGTGCTACCACCGGTGAAACAACCATACATAAAATCAGACACGTAACCAGTAGTCCAGTTCTTCCTTTTAATGACGCACAGCATTTCATGTCCACAAAGTACCTTCCTGGATTGAAATAGGAACTCCAGTCTCATCTGTGTGACACTTTTATTAACACAGTGGTGGATCAAACTGTGAATCAAGCAAAGCTATATCGAAGTAATAAATCACAATGATGGCAGTAATAGAGACTAACAGCTTCCATTGTAACAAAGTCAAGGTAGAAGCCAAGCAAATGCGAGAACAAAAGTATGCAGTAGTTAGTAACAAGTTAGAGATCAGTCAATTGTTTATGAAAAGGTTACCAGCTAGCTAAGGCTATACAACTGCTAGTACATTGGCTTTGGCACAATATAGGACCTTTTTGTGGCATTTTCTTAGAAACATTACAAACAAGCAAGACAAAGAAAAAACAACAACATGTCCTTTCAGGGAAAATATCAGAAATTCTACAAGTCTAACAGTTTCAAATGCTCTAAATGGATATATCGAACTACATTCAACATAATGTTCAGCTCCTAGGCTAAAACAGTAAATTTAACCTTACATTGTGACATGATGAAGCACAACTTAATGCAAAATAGATTCAATAAAATTGCTTTCACACATCATAAATAATCTCATATTGGCAACTGAATTATTTTTCCAATCAACTATTGAACACTCATTGTAATAACACCTTTTGATACATACTGTATGTTTTAGGATTGGACTGAAATTTGGTTTTGTCTACAGTCTAGACTTGTGTTAATAATAAATGCACTTAAAGTAGTTAATATTTATTAGGTATTTTATAATTTGTACACTTAATAGCCCTGAGTTTTGTTTGTTTTAAGAAAAGGCTGAAGGCAAAAACAATTATGTAGGGTACAGAAATTCTGCTGGCAGGTAACAGGTTGACAGAGTGATGCTTCATTATGATTTATCACAAACGAGGCTGTACAGTCTACATCTGCAGTACAATTTGAGATAAGGGACACTTAGTTTTTGATACCTGGTTATCTATGAGAATAAAATTTTTGACTGCTACGATCTATTGATTGTATGTATGAACAACTCAGGTTTTAGTTTCCAAAATGTATCTGAGACAATATAATACCTAAATATAAAATTAATACATAGCAGTAGCAAAAAAAGGAGCAGTCAGTTTTGGAAATGTATGCCTTATAATCTACAGTATTTTTCTTTGAACAATTAGTACCAAAATGACTCATTTAATAACACTACATGTTAGACAATTTTCAAACCTGTGCGGTTACGATGGCCCAACTCCCCCCTCCACATTTGAAGGCTGGTTGTCTGATTTGTGGAAAGGTGTTTCCTTGTAAATGAACCAGCAGTTACCACCCCACAGAATGAGGTTAAGGAAACCAAATATCTGCCAAAGAATAAGACATAAGTCAAATACCCCAGGCTGTTGTGCACACACGTTTAAGCACGTCTGGAAAAGACTAATTTGCATTCAACTTACCACTGACGCATTTAGTCTGCCCATGTGAGGCAAGGCACCTGGGCTGCACTTGTTGTCAACACTCTTGCAGACCTCAAGATTGGATAAAATGTCTGAAGGACTGGTGGCCCACTTCACATCGGTCAAGCCTTTAGCCCAAGCAGAGGATGATACCAACCACAAGAAGGCAAAGGCTGCAGTCACCAACAGATCCTTAGAGAATAAAGACAACCAGTTTAAAACCATTTAACAGTCGAAAATAGTAGCTTCACTCCAGTAGCTTCTTGGACGGAGACTACCTAGTGCAGTATGTCGCTTAGTTGCTTGGGAACCACACCCCTTTCATTTACACAACTCTGTTAAATGCTCTTTCTCTGACCTCCAGTTGGATTCCAGGATGAGGTGGACTCAGAGATGCAACATTTTGCACACAAAGCATAATATATAAACATTGCCTGCATAGATAAAACTACATTCATCAATTCATATCAGTGGTATCACTGCTGAATTTACACAGCAGCTTAAAGAAAACTGTCCTGCTTCAAATGCAATCTCTTGAAGTCAACACCGTGTCATTTTATCTCACTCCGTTTCTAAGCTATTTATAGTCGTGAGGAGGACCTAGCTAAGCACAAACATTTCACCAAAACAAATGATAATCCAGATAAACGTACCACAATCGGTCCACGACTAGATTCTCTATATATGTGCTGGTAGCCCAAGTAGAGGACTAGTGTGGCAGTGCAGTAGAGAAAGGCCAACACTCCAATACAGACGTAAAACTGTGCAGAGGATGTGTGGTCTCCAGTCAAGAAGTAAGCAGTGGTAGTCGTTTCGTTTGCTTTGCAGTTAGGAACATTATAAGGATTCTGCATCAACCTGTGTAAACACAGACAGATAGTCTCACATTTCCAGTAAGAAATCAGCTCACATGAAAGTGTGTGTTTACTTTTAGGATTGTTATAATTTAAAATATTCTGTTTGCAGACCCACACACACACACACACACACACACACACAGACCTGAATGGGTAGGAAAAGTGTGCCTGTATTTCCTCAATGTTATGGCCCTTGCACTGGACATTGATGCTCGTGGTGCCGCTGTAACCTCCAGTCGTAGCAAAAGCAAATATGGAGAACACCTGCAGCCGCAAACACAAGATAAGAGAAGAACGTTGGCATACTAGGATGGTCAGGACAGAGCTGCTCAATCAAACGGTCACATATGCACTACACACACACACACACACACAGAGACTTCCCTTTATTTTATGTAACACACTTTCAACAGGAAATCCTTCTGTTAATCACAGGATGCCATCACTGTGAATGGTGTCCACAGTTCACAGCAGAAACATTTCATCATATTTAAACGCACACAGAACTAGCTAAAGAACAGGAGCTCACATTAAGTACTGAGAAAGAATTATGAGGAAAGCTCACATAAAAACACCTATCTGCAGTTAAAGCTAACATTATATTATTTGACTGGAAATGTTGTAAATGTTGTAGCTGAACATCATATTATATATATTATACATAATATATTTAATAATATTAAGAGTCAATTAAAGCAAAATAAAGTATTTTTCTACGTTGCAAACCACATCCTTAGCTACAGGTGCTACCCTGACCGTGCTAACACACGTAAATGACAGCAAGCAGTCAGTAAAGTCAACAGGCTGTCATCTTGGTGTGCTCCTCTGATATACGAATAAACCCTCTGCATACCATATTTGAATCGCTGTCACAGCTCAAAACATGAGTTGCATAGCTTCTCCGAGCGTGCAGTGGGTCACAAGACAAACATAATCAATTTGTAAGGTTTTTTTTTCTTTCCGCTACCAGGGATGGAGAGAGCAGACAACCCGCCATAGGCCATATGGTAAAAACCTGAGCGAGGTTTGATAAACACGTTACGTACCCATTCCAGCAAACGGATGAACGCCAGCGGCTCTTTCAGAGGTCCCAAGTCAAGACTGAACCCCGACGTCAGCACTTTCTGGTGGGAAATAAACACACAATGTGAGAAACGACGTTGCACTGCGAGAGAACTACACAAATAGGTGTGTTTGCTAAAAAAAAAAAAAAAAAAGGAGAAGGAAAGTGCCGTTTTTTCGGCGCCGTTACCTGGGCGACAGATTCCATCGTTTGTCCGCAGAAAAACACCGTTAGTGCCGATTATGAGTCTCCTTTTCCTGGGTGTTTTTAGCAGCTCGTCCGCGCTCTTCGTGCTTGTCAAACTTTTCTTCAACTTCAGCGAATCGTAGTAGGTGTCACGTGATCAGTGACGGCGCTGATCGAGAGAGTGAGAGAGAGAGGACTGAAAGAGAGGGAGGGAGAGAGAGAGAGAGAGGACGGAGAGAGAGAGGACTGAAAGATCAGCGGAGCACGAGACGAGCAGAGAGAGACGAGAAAAGACGGACACCGCGAGAGAAGAGAGGACTGAAAGAGAGAGAGAGGAATGAAAAGAGAGGGCGCGGCACAGAGAGAGAGAGAGAGAGAAAGCCGGGAGAAGCAGCGCAGAAGGAAAAGCCTGAAAGACGAGGGAGAGAGAGAGACGGCGAGAGAGGGCACGAGAGACGAGACGGAAGGGATCGGGGCGACACGTGAAGGAGAGAGAGACGACGGCCAGAACTGGACACGCACGCCAGAGACCCGGAGCAGGCGGCCCGGGATGAAGAGAGAAAGAAGGGCACTCGAAGAGACGGGGGGAGAAGACGAAGGCAACGGAGGGGACGCCAGAGAGGACTGAAAGAGAAGGGAAGAGAGAGGAGAGAGAAGAGGAGAGCACACAGGAGGACACCGTACGGAGAGCAGAGCGATGGGAGACGAGAGAGAGATAAGATGACGAAGAGAGGCCACCGAGAGAGAAGGGCGAACGTAGAGAGACCCGACCCGAGGACTCGAAGAGTAGAGGCGGAGAGGAGAGAGACGAGGGGACTGAAAGAGAGGGAGAGACGAGGGAAGAGAGCAGAGAGGACTGAAAGAGAGGGAGAGAGGGTAGAGAGACGAGAGAGCAGAGAGAGAGGAGCTGAAAGCACGACGGGAGAAGAGCAAGGACT